GGGGGGGGGGGTCCCTACCTCAAATAGTTACTGTGACAACCAAGTGCCATTATACCAGACAGCGTCCAGCACAGTGCTCACCAGCAGCATAAATCATTTCCTGGGCTTTCTTTTAAGAGCACAACAACCAAAAACCCCCCATCTCATTTAATATAGTTAATAATCTGGTCTTTAACAAACAACCCTCTTGCCAGTCCTTTCTCCTCTGACCTTACCAGAGAAACCGACAGAGAGAAAAACTCCTTTCCATCCCCAACACTACTCAACCGTGTGCTGCTTCCTCTAAGGGATAGTGCACTTCCCTTGAAAATCACATTGGCTCTGAAACAGTTGGTAACTGTCTTTATAAAAACACCTACAAAATCAAATTTCTTAAATTTTGATAAACAAAGAATGTCACACAGAGAACTTCAAAGACCAGCCCAATCACTTCCTGTTAGGTACAAAAGCTAAGGCCCAGGGAAGTTAAGTGATTTGTACAAAATCATATTTAGTAAATGGCAGAGCTGAGATTGCGAAACAACGCAGTCATAGGGCAACAGCAATGTGGCCCTGCTTGCTTCTAAATGAGTGTACGGGTTTCCGTCCGCATTGCCCTGGGCCAGCCAGAGAGAGAGCTACTTAAGAAAGAGCTTGCCCATGGCAGGCACGGAAAGCACTGGCCTGCAATAAAAATTCTCCCCTTATGCCACGTCAGGGACATGAGTATCAGCGATTCTTCCTGTCCCCTGGAGCTTACATCTTTCCACAATAAAGATTACCATCGGGTGGCACCAGGCTTTAGCATCATCTGGAAAATGTGAGCCCGTGTTTTCTCTTTGTCTTTCCTGGAGCTCCAGTAGATGCTCTGGAGTCTAGACAAAACAGCTGAACCTGGTCTGTGACGGGATCAGAAATGACAGGGAATGCTCACAAATCAACGGGGCTGCCCGCCACGACAGGTTGTGCATCACCCTAAGAAAAGACTCATCAGCTTCAACACAATTGGAGCTCCTGGGGCATTCGCTTCCACCCTCCCATTGATCAGAATGTGCAGGCTGTCCAACCGGATCACACTTACTACTCTGCTCAGCAGTAAAAGGGGCGATTGGGAATATCTTGCTGATCACCACACACAAGAAGAAACGTCTTCACAAGACATTCCACTTTCGGG